ATAAGATCCCTTCGATTAAAAAGGTGAAAAACTTAAAAACATGGCACCCAATATGCTTATGCTAAAATTTATTTAAAATTCAATTCTGTAGCGAATTCGATGCGGAAACACGCACGCATTAACGCAATTAGTTTTCGAAGGTAAAATACTTCTTCCCTCCTATGAACTGCTAAATAGGGATAAAGAAGGGATAAAAACAAACGATAATTTAGCAAATTGAATCATTTCCAAGCCTTCCATATTGGACATGAATGTACAACGTAGATAATAAGAAAACATTGGCTTCAATTACAAAGGAAATACGATCTCTTGCAAATATCTCCAAAACAACTTTAGCTATTAACATGATCGAGAAATGCTTATAATAACTAATAATAGATCTATATACATAGATTTATAATCTTTGTAATCTATTAACTATACCTTTACATTTGCACTATGTTGGAATAGATATTATCGTGGTTCAATCATTTTTTAAGTGCAGTATTTTAGATTAAATATAAATAATAAATTAATAAATTAAAAGAAAAATATATCAAAAAAATATATATATGTACACTTTCGATATCTGTGTATTTGTTTGCAAGTATTGGACATTAAAGTTTCGAACTAAACCGAAGTTATATACATACATATATATGTATATATAATCATCATTCTCATATTCTTATTTTATTTATTCGTTTGTTCATTCACTATTGTTATATCATATGGAAAATATGAATTTTCATTTAACGTTTACCTTCCTACTACTCAAGGGAAATGCATACAAATTTTATAACAGTTATTACGCAAAATGTTCTCATTATTATTATCATTGTTATTGTTGTTGATGTTGTTTAAATAAATTCGTAGCTTAATTTATATTTAGTTGGAACAAGTTTCACATGTATTTACTTATTTGCACACACACTATCCATGTACATACAATATACATAAATTAATATGTATTTTAGCAAAACAATAAAATAACAGCTTAGTTATTTGTTTTCTTTTTTTTTTTTTTTTTGAAAGACAATTTAAATAAACATGAGTATAGTTTATCAAAGTGAATTATGTATAATTTAAAAATTTTGTAATTTTCTCTCTCACACGCATACATACATACATCAGTTATATTGCTAATAAAATATTAACCAAATGTACCAATTTCCATGCGATCCAAAGTCCACCAACAGATTACGACTGATGTGAACATATGTTTTCTTTTCTTTCTTAACGTACATATCCAACATGTTTTATAAGTATAAGACAGATACATGGAATTATTATGCAGTAGTAAAAGTGCTCGCCCATGTTATGGCAAACTTTGAAAACTCATGAAAATCTCTTAGTTCTTTGTTAATTGTCCAGAAAGCTAATATATATTTATATATATATATATATATATATATACATATATATATATATATTTCTTGATGAATCGGTTGCTACAAATGCCTATATTTGGACGAAAATATTTTTTAAACTTCCGAGAGTTTTTAGTCTTTGTAACCGTTTCGGCATATATATGCCAATAAATCCGTACGGTGTGCTTACTTAGACAATTTCATTCTATGGATACAATTGTTAGTTTTATTGATTGATTGATAATTTTATGTTATACAAAAAAGTGATATTAGATCATCTTGTCAACATATTTCGTACGTTGATAGTGATGCTATGCACTGAGTCGTTGGTCTTGTTGATAGATACCCATACCGTGGACAAAGTTTTAATAAAAGCGATTTAAGTGTATTTAACTAAGGATGCATATAAAAACTGCGTAGGCCTTGAATCTCGTACAACGTGACAAGCGCTCAACGAAAAAAGAACGTTTTAATTAATCTCTCTCACGCAAAATTATGGGCCCAAAGAGATCGCAGGTAAAACAGGGTGCAGCATAACCCAGGGCATAACATCAACCCATCCGGTAAGAAAATTTCGATCGTCCGTCTGTCAACGTAAGGGTTTCTACGCGTGGATATCTTGAGTTTAACCATCCGTAAAATGTGAATTGTATGTTTCTGTTACACAAAAGTGACCAAAGTCGTCAAAAATACAATTGCGAAGAATCTTTGACTTTGAATATCCAACGTTACAGTAGCGATCGTTTGAAATATTCCGAAATAAAAGATTGACGATTATTACAAAACACGTATACAGACGTTCATACGATGCTCGATCGTCATAAATAAGCCACCTGATGATGGTTCCTGATTCTTCTAAAGATATAACTTTTGTTGAACTATTTCTTCACATGATTTTTTTCCAGTTTTGCATTGCACATTCTCCTGAAGAACTTGAATTTATTAGCGAAGATTACAGCTAAACTAATCAATAAGGATTCACAAAGTAAATGAAAATATCCAGAGTTCGTGGGATTTATTAAACACTTCTTGTCAAGTCTACTTGCAATGGCCTTGAGTTGTACCTTGATTATAAAACACTCGTCATTTTGTCTGCGAGGATTCTAGATAATTTTAGAGAATTTTCAAGAAAATATTTATTTAGTTTAATTCTTGTTAAATTATTCATGTTTTTTTTTTTTTTTTTACATATAGAAATGTGGAAATATTCCTTTTTCCTATAAATAAATATCAAGCAAAATTCGCTAAGGGTGAGTGTATTTTCTTCATTTCTACATTCCGTTTAGGATATTTTACGCTCCAATCATTAATCAATCTTAATTTTCTTAATTAAATGAACAAATATTTTATTAATAAATTATTACCGGACTGTGTTTACATACTAAAGTATAAATACGCATGCAAATACAAACATGCAAACACATTTGTAAATACATCATGTACATAAATGCACGGATGTATACATAAGAGCGTCAACAATCCATAGAGTTTTTATATTTACAACCTAATAATGATAATGAAGGCGCAGGTATATTAAAAAAGTCATTTCGCCTGCAGCTTCGCGAAGACAGATAATATAGATTTTAAAATTGATTTGAACCGCTTCCAGTTCTGTCTTAATATATTTCTTATATCGATTAGGTGCATAATATAATTAGGGAAAGATTTTCTTAATTGATTCTCCGTCACTTCGTTTTCGTTAACGTTGAAAAACAACTTCACGAACATCTGAATAGTCATATCAATCGAACTTACAATGGGAAGGTGTGGCCGAATTCAGACATTTAGTATTTTAACTGACGGTAAATTCGACGATATTATTAAAATAAGAAGAAGTCTTTTAGGTAGCGTGATGTCTTTTTGCATCATTTAGAATATAGGTGTAATTTGCAAAACACATTACTTGCATATGAACCACATCCACAACTTCATATAACAATCTAACCCAGCAATTGACCGATTGACAACCTAATAAATTGTGCGAACAATTTAAATCACCACCAATTATATGTTGATTATTATAACCAATTAATTTGTAAACATCCATTTTGAACGTACCGTCTGTAATTGGAACAGAGTAAACCGCCGGGAAAATAACACGAGTGTATGTGAATACGCAAAATACGTTGCGCAAAAAGTTTTTGATTCCAATGACTTCTATCAAATTCATCTTAGTTGGAACAGTGCATTGATATTTTATATCCGTTTTTATTAAAAGTGCGATACCGTCTTCTCTTGAGTTTTCGCGATCTTGGCGGAAACAAATAAAACTTAGATTTTAACTAAGTCTCAGAAATGAATATTGTAATTAAATAGATATCGTAATAGTTCTTCTTTCTTGCTGCGAATACCATGGGAATTCCAGATTATAATATTGATACTCTCAGTCATTAATATAGAACGTTTGTGGGGCAAGATTAATCCAAAGTGATCAGCTTTAGTTTTTGCGTTTTTTAACTAAGTAAAACAAGTAAATTTTGAAACTCTTTTGCAAGTTTTTAAGCGATATAATCACTTTTGCGAACAAGAGAATGTTTACCACAGATATCACGCAGTTGCACACACGAACAGATGGACAGAGGAATGGACGAACATGCTTAGATGCATTTCGAATGCATGCGAAACTGGCCAATGCGCAACGTGTTTCTGCACCTTATAACGGTATTGAAAAGAAAATTAAATTTTGATACACAATAATACTAGGCATGATACAGCATCGCACATCGAATATGCGTTCAAATTTTTATACATTTATTTACTATAGTTTATGAATAATGAGCAAGAAACCAATTTTTTATTCCTTTTGAAAACCAGCGGTATTCTTAGTTTGCGTGGTGCTGCAGGTGTGTCCTTCGACCGACTTGGCCCATTTTCAATACCAAGCTGCGAACTTCCAAAGTTTCTGTCAAGTTGGAAGTCGGTAGGTTAATTTTGCCGCCAAGCGAATGCTTACAACAGGCGTTGCACAAACGAATAGATGGAAAGTCGAACGTATTTGATTTAGAATTTGATAATGATCAAGAATATGTGTACCTTGTGGGGTCTCTGATGCTTCTTTAGGCGTTGCAAACGTTTTCACAAAATGAATATGTCCCCCATCCTTCGCTGATGGGTGTAAAAATTTTATAGCCAGGCAAATATTTGGTTAAACACATTACATTATTTTGCCTAACACAACTTTTCATTTTGTTTTGTGATAAAACACCAATAATTATAAGTTGTTTGTACGTACAACGTGAACTGTTGTAATCTAAATTTAAAAAAAAATTAAGTTTTTTCTTAAAGCCCTTATTATTCAGCACGTATTTTTATCATAAAGTACCAAAAATTTGACATTGTTGCGCTTGTAAGCGCTTGTTTCTCATGAGAGAACCCTTATTCAATGATGGTTCAAAATCACTGTTGTGAAGCAATTTTCATCATCAAATGTCAAAAATTATACCTCATTGCCATATAAAGACTTACTTTTCGTAAGAACGTAGGTTGTAGAGATAGTCCGTGCGAAAATGTTTTTAAAACAGAACGTTATATGATGAATAGCGGCAAAAAGTAATCCTAACTAATCCGTTTTCAATAGGGTTCGTCCATAGTTAAAAGTATCTGAAAAAGTATCCGCGCGGTAGGTAGAGTACATATATAGATATCAATTTATCTTAAACTCTCCCGGCTATCATTCGCACAAACTGAAAACACACCCTATATCATAATAGATATAGATTATAAGTATGAATGAATTTAATTCATCCATTATAACATATAAAGAATCGGATGTCATCTTCTGTTTCCAAAAAAAAATATCATACTATTCCTTATAGAAATGATATAATATGAAATTTTTTTAAATGTAATTGAAAACTTCAAAAAAATATTAGACAAACGCTTTCAAATCAATTGCTTTGACCTTATTTTTATTTGATCGTTTCATCATACGCTTTGATTAAAATCAATTAAGGAGAACATTTGCAAAACTAAACGGTAACTAAACTGAATGCAAAAGAACAGTTGTGCATTAATTCAAGTAGATGGCAGTTGAGACATCGAAAATGTCTGGCAATTTTAAATCTCAAAAGGAATACATAAATAATGAATTTATAAAGACATGCCTAGAAAATGGTTTCTTTACGGATGAGATTGAAATAAATGATCTAATAATTAATAAAATTAATTTAGGCGGTGACAATTATTGTAGTGACATATATCAAGGTCATGTTATTTATCGTCTGAACAATAGAAATTTCAACGGTGAAGGAACTCAGCGGGTAGAAGAAATACAATTGATTATCAAAAGAATGCCGAAAGAGAAACAAGGTGTCCTACAGAGATTGCAAATCTTTAACAGAGAGAAATTTTTCTATACCCATCTTAAGATTCAGATGGAAACTCTAATGACCTTGGTTAAAAACTCCTGGCTATTGGCACCAAAGTAAATAAAAATTAAAGACATGTGCGTGTGTTTCCCTTTTTTTTAAGATTTTAAAAATTTCTAGATTGTTTTATCACACCACGAACCCATTTGAAACTTTTGTATTTGAGGATCTAAAGCAATTGGGTTTTCAATTGTCTAGTCGTCAACTTGGATTAAATAAAAACGAAAGTCTCTTGGTTATGGAAAAATTAGCTGAATATCATGCTTGTTCAATACTTATGTTAAATGTGGGTTTTAATGAAAAAGAAAAAAAAACAATTATTTAATTAACTTTTGAAAAAAAAAAAATAATTTTTTTTCATTTTTAGAAATTCAGTGACTTAAATGATATTCGTAACCGTTATAAGTGCGGTTTATTAAACGACATATCAATTAAATCAGATTCTTTTCAATTGTTATTTGGCGGGCAATTGTTGAAATTAGCGCAATTGTTAGCGGAAGATTTGGAATTTTCACATAGTTCGAAAAAACTATTAAATTACTACGACCAGTTTACTGAGAATGTTTTGAATTCAGTATATCCTTTAGAGGGGCAAGTTAATGTTCTAAATCACGGCGATATTTGGGTCAATAATTTATTCTTCAAATATGACAAAAAGTTAAGAGATGGCAATCCAACCCCCACTGATATAAGATTTGTAAGTAAAGAAATTTTTGGAATACATATTTTTTTATTTTTTTTTTAAAGTTTTGTGTGCAATCGTTCCTACAAAAATGTTTTTCGATAAAAAAATTTCAACGAATATGATCATTAATAAAATTATTATAAAACAAGTAAAACCACTATAGTGGCCCAGGGCTCACCATTACATACCTTACAGCATCCTACAGTTGCTTATACACCTAATTCCCTTTTAACATAAATTGTTTCTACACGAAATTTGATTTAACACGAATTAAAGAGAATAAATTCTCCTTTTTACACGAATTGTTTTGTTTTAACATGATTTTTAATAGTGTTTTCAAGTGTTTTTATGAATTTTTTTTATTCTCTTTCCTCACAAATATGCATTGTAACTTAGCGTTTTATTTTTCATTATTCAGTTGAATTATGTCAATTATACGCGTATGGGATTCCCCAAATTATGCATAGACTAAGGACGTTATGTATTTTTTACAAAATTTTGTTTGGTGTTTCCAAGCATAGTTTTTTTTTTTTATAATATATTTAATGAATTAAAAATTGTAAGCGCAAAATAAATTCTTAAGTGAACTAACTCTACGAAGAATTGTTTAATATTGTTTATTGTCCTTTTTAATCGCTTTTTTATGTCTGGAACCAATCTACTATTTTGCCAATAGTCAACATCTTTTTTCCCCGGAATATTTTTATTGTACAAATTTCTTGGGAACGTCTATCTATCATGTAAAAAGAGAATTAGTTGTATAACGATTTTTCAAAATAAGACGTTATATGGGAAATGGTCGAAAACATTATCCCATCCAAAACATGTCCAATTTGCTTGGGAAAAAAATATCGATATACTAAATGTTATTAAAATATATTAAAAATTGCGATCTCCCAGTTAAGAACAAATCTACGAGCGGATAGATAGGTACAATAAAAGATGAGTCTATCTTAAGTCATTGCGGCTTACGTCCGCACAAACTTAATATAACCTCCAACGCAAGTGGTACAAGGTGTAAAAAGAAGGAAGATTAGACATGTCACCATTTGGGGTATTCTAAATAACAATATGAAAAAGGAGTTACCGATTTTGGATTCATATTGTTATAAACCCTAAATTGTTTACCACAGCATAGAGAAATTTTTTGAACTCTAATAATTGTCAACATATTTCCAAGGATTGGTTCCACTTTTAAACTTAATTTATGACATCGGCTTTTGATCCTATACTTGAAATATTGATTTAAATTTCCTCATTAAAAGATGAACGAACGGATAAAACTAAATTAGTCATGAATGACTTTTGTTATTTGTCCCGAAATTTTTAGCCCCGAATCACATACTCTTTCAAAGATTGTATTGTATACGATATTAAAAAAAAAAAAGAATTCTTATCCGTGAATTATCCAAATGCAATTTAGTTGTATGTTTACTTATTTGAACATTGTATTTTGATTTGAGTAAACTGCATGAAAGCTGGGACGCAAAGATGATCTACACACAACATAACTCAATCATAAATCAATTGTTTTTATATATAGCAGCTGTTAAACGATCCATATTATAAAATGTCAAGCATAATGCTAAACATATGATGTTGTGGATGATAGTTCTGCCTTACACATATTACTGAAACGGTACTGCCAAGCTGGAGTACGAAATGGATAATTCTGCATATGTCACTACACCGACGGTTTAAATGTAGTACTATGTCCAAAAAAAAATGGATTATTTATTTATAACCCCAAATATATTTTTATATATTTTTTAAATCAATTTGATCGTCTTCATGACACGCAAAAAATATTCCTTCTTAACAGGAAGGCTTGGCTGAAGGACTTTATAATACACAACACCATGATAATTGAAAAAAAACTGTTAATGTCATCTTGATTTTGAAACGATCTTCGCGCGGTTATTCCGGTCTTGCCTCGATATTCGCTCAATTGATCGGTTATTTCCGGTTCTCATGTGTACATCCAAACCTCATCTTCCGTAATAATGCGTTTCATGACGGATCAATAGCTCTTTGTTCCACCAAATCACATATTTAAAAAATCCGAAAAAATACTTTTTGTGTCGTACAAAACCAACCGCAGCTGAAATACGTTTACGTAATGACGGCTACGAACTGAAATTTGACACAGATGTCTGTCACAGTACTATAAATTAAAAAAAAAAAAGGTGATTGGAGAATAAAACTGTTTGAACTTGATATTAGGTAGCAATTACACGAACTGGTCAACAGAAGCAACATCTATATATCATCCTATGATCTAGTTGAGTGAGACGAAAGGATCTTGAGAAAAGATATGTTTGGACTTTAAGAACAAACTAGTAAAAAAAAGCTTTAATTGTAGAAAAAAATTATTTTTGAGCAAATTTATATTAATTTAATTTTTTAATGCAATTTCTTTCCAAATAGATTGATTTCCAACTTTCCTTTTGCGGCAGTTTAGGATTTGATGTAAATTATTTTCTAAATACCAGTTTGCAACTGAATGTTTTGCAACAATACCGGGAGACGTTAATCAATTATTATGCAGAAACCTTGGTAAAAACTCTGCGAGTGTTACCTTACGATGGCTCGATACCAACAATACAAGCAATTTTAGATGAAATTTCCGCAAAAGAAGCTTATGGATGGGTTATAGCGTTTACCTTTTTTCCTCTCATGTCAATGGACGCTACGGATTCACAAGATAACAGTTTGGAGAGCTTAAATGATTCCGTTTTTGCGCAACGAAAGTTCGATTTAATGTTCAAAAGTAAATCACGTACTGTGGAAGCTTTGAAATTTATAATAAAACGCATGGAACAATTACAGATATTGTGAAGCGTATAAAATAAACTACGATTGAGATTGAGAATATTAAACGAATGTAAACAAGATTTTTTTTACGCTGCTACGTATAATATCTAAATGGAATTAACTGAGAAATATCTTCCTCATTTATTTACTTTTTTATTAATTATATATAAATCAATAAATATTTCGAAACGCACCGATTATTTGTATACATACACAAATACGTCAAACGAAAACAGCAAGTAATTATTTATAAATAGCAATCAATAAAACTGTGTAAATGAACTTTAAAACGAATGTTAATTGCCCGCTATCATCAGAAGATGCGGATAAAATAATTTCGCCCATTTATTGTAATGAAATACGAGGTACGACAGCTAAACTAAATTATGCTTGGCTTACTTGTCTGTCTATTTATTCGTCTCTCTCCCTCTCTCTCTCTCTCTCTCTCTGATTCTCTTTGAAATCAAATATAGATATTTTTCTCTACTATCATGGATTCCATTAAAGGCCAGTTCATAAACATTCTGACTAAAACACAAAAAAAAAAAAAAAAATATTAAGGCGGTAATATTCCCATACATAGAAAATTTTTATAGAATTTATCGTATTTCAGGGCCGAGATCTGATTTAACAGATGATGAAAATTCTATAATACATTTTTACATCTATCATCAATATAGATACAAGGTTTGTGTGCCGTCGTTTAAAATTTAACTAAGAACGCAAAGTTTAGCTTCTTATCTCAATATTTTCGCTCAACCTTGAACATTCTGGTAGGCAGACAGGCGGATAAATAAACAGTCTTTATTGAGCGACTTACAGTCTTGCTTTCCTCGAACATCTATACCAGTCACCGAGCAACACGATTTTTATAAACTCAAGCTTTCAATATTGAACTCTGTGAAGGAGCAATAAAATTTTATTCGTGGTAAGTTGTATTTTTCATGCTTGCCTATGGCTATCGCATATCGCTAGTTAATCGATTGGGTAGGCCCTAGAAAATATTTTTGTACCACTTTTTACATGAAAATCTCTTGTATGGAAATTATAAGTTTTCGTGTATGGGGCACAGACATGTATCGACCAGTCGTTGCCTAAGCTTTAAAAGGTCACCAGTAATGTTTCGAAAAGGATCAGTGTCTTCTATATATTACAGGTTGTAACTTTTTGCTTGTTTAAGTGGCAGCATGGTAATGTACTTAATCTACGGCTGTAGCATTAACTTTCTCAATGTTTGCATGTACAAGTGTTTCAGGGCAGATCACAAATACGGATAGAAGCAGATCGGTAAATCGATTCAGAGTCTTAGAGTTCAATCAGACGACCTGTAATTCTGGACAACAATTCTAGTATAACCCTATCCAATTCAAACCAAACCCAATCCTATCCGACGATAAGGTATATAAAAATTCCTTGTAACAAATTTCGCCCTCTTGTATATGCCAGGTTAACACTCTTTGTTCTCCTTCTCATTTACGCGATCTATCATTTATTTTTCTTAATTTTATAAATCGGTAAAAGCATAACATCACAACATTAATCGGGCGTAAGCCCTATCTCTCTTACTGTCTTCCTTTCTCCTTACAATAACCACGCTTACCTATGTATAGGACACATCACCTAAGCGACTGACCATAAAAAAAGTAATTTTAATAAATAAATAAATAAATAAATATAAAAAAATTGGGAATGAGAACTTTCTGCAATCCCAAGAGGTAATAAAATGTGACAAAATAGTTTTCTGTATTAAAGTGAAAACTGCATCGTCTCATAACGAACTGGCCAGTAAGTCGTAGTTGAAGTTGAACTTTACGCCAACACATATATGCAGCGAATTCTGTGCCATGTACTGCTTGAGATTATCAATGAAATGAAAAAATTAATACACTTTTAGTCGTTTGTAAGGGATAAGAGAATAATTAAAAGCTTTCAAAACATATACCCGATCATGTTTGCATGTAAAGCAAAATTTGTTCAACTTGGAAAAAAAAATGCATTTAATGACTGTAATGCCTTCTTCTCTACTACAATAAATAATAATTTACTATTTGAAAATAAATCTTAATTATAAAAATTATCTCGTCTTTGGAATAGCAAGTAATTGCCATACATTTTTTTGAATTTTCCTTCCTATTTTCTTGTTTTTTTCTTATTTTTCTCTTTTGAGTTATTGTTTTAGAAAATATTGACTTAATTATATATAATATTTAAGTTCACATGATTATGTTCGTATATAACATATATACAAATCGAAATATTTCTCTGAAAGTGCAGCTAACAAAGAAACTCTCTATTATATAGTGACTTCATTATTATTTCAAAGGTCCATCAATTATTGACAACACATCAGAGCACTTAGTCTGTTGATTAGCTTCTCGGGATAGTTTCATTTGTAAACATGAGTATAGTCTACATAAATATATTAGAACAGCCGACACATTTAGATTTACAATTTTTACAAGATGTCCTAGAGAACGCTCTATATATTACTGATTTTTATATTAAAAGTGCGGTATTTACCATGGGCAGTAATGTTGGCGAAAATTATTGCAGTCAAATATATCGTGTAAAAATTGCATATGAATTGATAACCGACCAAGAAAATATAAAAGAAATATCAATCATAATCAAGAGTATACCATTAATTGATGGGATCGATTTTCTGGTTAATTTGAATGTATTTCATAAAGAGTGCATTTTCTATAATTACGTTTTACCGCGTATGGAAATGTTGTTTAGAAAAGAAAACGTAAAATTTGCACCAAGGTAAGTATCGATGTTAAAATATTCTCAATTAGTCATCTTTTATACATACAATACAATATCATAATCAAATTGTAGATTTGGAAAAAAATTAGAATCCTAGTATATAATTCAGCAACTAACGATTACTAACGCCTACTAAAATTTCATAGATTGTCTTGAATTAACAATCTTCAAGGTAAGGTATAACTACTAATACTATATTACATTAGATTTTATTATAACTAATCTATGTGAAAGACTAGAAACTTTGAAAGACGAGATATCATTTAATGTAAATGGTTGCACGAGTTGTTTGGCAGGTGGCGCCATCCTGCCAAAAGTAAACATCGTCCATATCCATAGCATCGATGTCTAGACAACACCAGTAAATTTCAGTCAAGATCTATCAAGGCAATCAATCCAGTGGAACCCGTAACATTTCCGAAACAATATGGCCCAACAACAACACGGCCAATCCCAAGAGCACAGCAAAGTATGACTCCTTGAGGTTGAGGAAGCCCGTCTTAGGTTAGGCTTGCTTAGGCATATGTGTGCAATAGATGTTCCCGTTTACATACATACATATCGAAATGATGAAAATCCTGTTCATGCATTTCCTGTATCCAATCGAAAAATTTATGACAATTGTGTTCAAAAAATCGTTTTAGTTTTTGATTGCCAAATGCCAGTCCGCAAAATGTAAAATAACACCTCTTACTGAAACGCCTCAAATTGCCCTTAAACTTAGCGCCAAAGTAGATATGATCTCTTCGCAAAATTACTATATATAAACATTGTGACACTGTGAAAAAATACCATTTCCGGCAGAAATTATTTGTACTGCTTAATTCGAACGAAAATGCAGCTGAATTGTAATAGATAACGAGCAGTGAACAAGCTATGGCAATGTGAAACGATGCAGGTCAAGCGTAGCATTATCATCAACTGCATAGTTGAACAATCGGCTAAGTATAGTGCATTTTCAACTACTAAGCCCAACGAACCCATCATTGCCGTTTATTACCAACAATAATTAATTAATATAATTAGGGAAAATGGCCACTATTCATTAAGAAAACAAAAATGATAAATGGGAGACTCGACCACATTTTGGAAAAGTCTTCGGGAAAACTTCAACGGCACTTTCTCGAGTGTACTCTGGGCAGAATTATCCTTTTGAAGGTCCATAAAATTGGATAACACTAAAAGGCAAGTTACTCTTTTATGCGAAGTCCATACATTGGCAAAAAGTGAAAAAAAAAGAAATCACTTTTACTACAGAATGGTGAGAATGGAAATGTTCCCTATATTGCATAAAACAAAAATGTGCTATAAACCGAATGTAGGACGAGTGTAAACTTAATCAGTTACTATTACAAGAATGTGTACTGATTAATAAAAAAAATTGTCAACAAAAGTGTTTCTTAGACGTAAAATCATTGTAAACGCGATAAAGGGAGGGAACGGTGATCGAGGGATATCAAATGACCAACTTGATAATACTTTCGTTTATTTATATATATATATATATATATATACATATATTGTTTTCTTCCAGGTTATATAAAACGTTAAAGAGGCCTATACAAACGCTGGCATTCGAAGATCTAACGAGATTGAATTTTGTGTTAGCCTCCCGGGAGAAAGGTCTCGATAAATTGCACGCCCGCTTGGTTATGAAGAAACTGGGCGAATTTCACGCTGCTTCGATAGCTCTTCTAAAAAACGTAAACAAAGGGAAATATCAAGTTAAAGAACAGCAAAGATTTTAACATTTTCACAATTAATTATCTTATAGATGCCGGAATTCCAGAATTGCTTTAAATCAGGTATGATATCGGAATTGTCTTTGAAACGGGACGATGACATGTTAATGCGCTTTTTTGGCGGAAGTTTAATGTCTTTAATAGAACTGATTGAGAAGTGGCCAGATTATGAAGAAATAACGAAGAAAATTAAAAAATATGCGGCTAATTTTAAAGAAAATCTCTTACGTAGCATTGCTTGTTCAGCAAACGGTTTTAACGTATTAAATCATGGCGATCTATGGGTCAACAATATGCTCTTTCAATACAGTGAACTAAGAGAGCCAGCAGACATAAACTTAGTAGATTTTCAAATGAGTGTTTGGTCAAGCCCAGGCATAGATATAAATTATTTTTTCTATACCAGTTTGGAACTAAATGTATTACAAATGGAATATGAGAATTTGATAAAGGAATATTATCAATCTTTAAATCATTCTCTACGGAAGCTGAATCATTTCGAGTCTCCTACATATCAGCAAATACGTGATGAAGTTCGTAAGCATGCACTGTATGGATTTTTTGCTAACTACGGCATATTTCCTACCATAAGTATGGAAAAACAGTACTCTATTGATAGCACTCTGGAAAGTTTCAAAAATGATGAATTTGCGCAGCAAAAGCTTAAGCAAATGTTTAGTTCTGCACGTTTACAAAAAACTATTCGCTACACCTTAAAACACTTTGATCAAATGGGCATTTTCAACAGTGAAAATATATAACAAAATTGTTTGTTTTTGTTTTAATACGATTTAAATGTATGTAGAGAACCTTTCATTACTTTGCATTGTAAGATTAATTCGTTAATTGTTTTGTTCTCTCTATTTCCAACTAATTACAATGATTGCATATTGAAAAGATATGAATAGTTTTCATTTGTTGTGTACGTGTTGTTTAGCGTTCGTATACAAAGCACATTTCAATTTTAATTGCGTTTAGTCAAGTTTTGACTTGAATTTATTTAAAATGTTGACCAATTACGATGAAAGCGTTTTGCAACGCTTTCCGGAGTACTTAAGCGTTGATTTTTTCCAAAAAGTAGCTAAATACCCGATATTGAAAGTATTGACATAACTTTGGGCAGTAACACGGGAGATAATTATCGCAGCTTAATTTATCGAAATAAAATTTTGTACAAAGATTTCAAGGATTCTTGACAAATGAAAAAAGCATGCATGTCAAATCAATTGAATTTCTTTTGGATATAAAGGTTTTTTTAAGTCACAAAAACCTTCTAAAATATATGATGAGCGAAAGTTTGGAGCTAGGTAAGCGCGTAAGTATGATATCAAATACGATTTAAAGAATCGCTTAAACTTCCATTTAGTTGGAAAATAATTGCAATAAAGTTTTATTTTATTGGGTATATCTATTTAGACTAGGATTCTTGATTTAAATCTTTTTATACCCAACATCTCTTGTGGTGCAAGGCATTTTAACCGACTCAGAATCATCGATCTAAGCTTGTTTGTCCGTCTGATATCTATTGGTACACTGCCGTGCTTCGGCGCAAGGACGAACGCTATCGAAAATAGTTTGAATTGACTCACTTTGTGTACCACTCCCCATATAACGCCTCATTTTGAAAAATCGTTATGTCGAACAAATTTGCAATTTTAATATTTCTCGCCAAAGGTCGCTGAGTAATAATATTTCGATGCTCTAAATTGGTATGAAAAATTTGGTTCAACTGAAATAATTTTTTAAATCCCTTGCCATATAACTGTTCTTACGAAACCGTATATGATGCAAAGGTTCAATTTTCAATATTTCATGGTGAAAATTGGTACATAATAATAAATTAACAAAGAGAGCAATCTTATCAAATTTGAAGCAGGAAAGTCTATTTTTTGCAAATCATCGCGTACAAGGACTCTCAGGAAATGAAAGCTCTTATACGCCAAAAAGGACTAATTGCTAATGTTTTATGATGAAAAATTTTACATGATATTAATTCGGCACAAAAATTAAGTTGACCAAATTTGAACTACATGAGTCTCTTTCTTGGACCCCAGCCCATACAAGATTTCTCATAAATAATAAATCCCTTTATAATATTTAGCGTTTTAAGATTAAAATTGGTCCACAGTACCAATAATTAAAAAAATTAACGGTAAGAATTGCACAGGTCTACTTTGTAGACCCTAACATATAAAAGGGTTGTCATGCAAAACAAAAAGAGAAAGTTTCATTTTTATTCTTTTTATGACAGAGCCTGAAAAATAATAAAATTTTTAGGAAGTAAATTGAGTTCATTAAATTTGGATCACGTCGTATAATGTTTTTGGCACCCTTCAATATGAGAGCTTTCGTCAAAAATATGCCTTTGCTTGTATGTAACTATAATATGCGAAATGGTGTAGCATATCCTAAGATTGGCCTTGCCTTTTATATAAAATGCTAAATTTATTAAAAAGATGACCCTATATTCACATACCGTATCCATCGTGATTGATACATGAATATATGTGCGTGTACAGCATAGCCTAGCAAATAAGAAGTGCGTATACTGGTAGATTCAAGCTCAATGCATGCAGCTATGGTGAATGCTAAATCCGTAAAAGCCTAACACTTTTTTGTCGTGATAATGGCTTACTGGCCAAAGATGCTTTAGAGCTCGAAAATAGTTGGTTTTCAGTTTAATTCAAACCACTGTTAATGCTTTAATCGAAGTGACGAAAGGAGAACGAACCTATTACAAGAATATTAGAAAAATATGCAATAAATTTACGGTCACACATAATCGAATACCACGCACCACAACCGGGGGACGAATATCAAGCGCTCAATCATGGTGACATATGGATAAACAATATGATGTTGAACTACAGCGAGCATGGTAAGTCAAACGATATGGTCTTTCTGGACTATCAGATAAGCGTTTCGAATACTCCAGGTATAGATTTGAGTTACTTCTTCTATACAAGTCTACCGCTGGATATGTTACAAAGCAAACTTGAACAATAACCATCAAAATTTGATGGCCATGTTGAATCACTTTAATTATAATAACATACCAACATACGAACAAATCAAGAATGAAATCCGTAAACGTGCTGCCAACGGCTTTTTTACCAATCACACCATATTACCATTAATCAGTATGGATAAATCGTTACCCGTTGATAGTATATTTGAAAACTTACCCAATGAAGAGTTCGCTATTAAAAAATTTCAAAGGGCTTTTGACACACCACGTCGTATACCTTAAAACAATGAAGTGAAAATTTTCGATTAAACTGCAAGTGAAGAATTCAAATGAAATAAAATGTAAATGATTAAGTGTGTTGAGAAAGGATTTTAATTTCATTTATTTGGCCAGTAGTATTGCATTGTACAATAATATCAGGTGTCAAATAGAAAATTGTTGCCAACACTAAACACTAAATTGTCTAAAATTCGCACAATGTACTCTTGTTATTTGTTAGCTGCATTGTCGAAAATTTACATAACATAACCATAGCATAAACTCTTCAGTTGAATTCTATATATTTAGAATGAATTTACCAGTCGCTACATAGAGATGAACACGCAACTCAGCAAATGAAAAGAAGCCTCAAATATGAATGCGCTCAAAACGAAGATACACCTACCCAAACACACATACGATCAAAACCGCAAAAGCATTAAGTAAACATTTGTTTAGTCAACGAATGGATTTGTAGATTATGTTTACTAAACTTGGTGAACGTGACCAAACGGTAGTAAAACTAGATATAAAAGAAGAAATAAAAACGCATTTCTGAATTAGTAGCAAATCCGATATACTATATCGCACTGACAATAGCAGCGCTGATGAAAGTATTTGTGGACTTTCTGTGCAAAAGATAAGAGCATTGTGGAATTAACGTAAAAATTTAAAACGATTTAAGGAAATGTAAATTATTATTATTATTAACATTACAATTACTACCGTTACTATTATTACCCATAGTAAAGTTTTACAATCCTGATATTCATTAGTGTTACGGTCCGCTGCGTTTTCTTAGCTGTTGTATTCGCTTCCTTGCAGTTTTTAGTGTAATATCCGTTAGTAGTATTCTAAAATTCTTTGTTTCAATTTGTTTATCTTTTATTCATCATTTTATTGACTTTATAAATGGCGTATATTTATTTAAGTTCTAAACTTACTTTTCAACTGCATTCCTATCGTTTGGCACGAACCCATCTATGAGATATATTATTTTCTTTCTATTATCAGTGCGCTACCAGTTTCTCAAACTAAATACTATCATCCTAGTCTGTGGTCTACATATCTTGATATATTGCGACGTGTTTGCTTAATACCATATAGTTCTAAGAGAGCATCCCTCCTATAATTACAGGCTCTGCGCGCTAACTAATATAATGTAATCTATATTTCGCATTGCTTGATACCCGCATCTACATTTATCATCTCGTTACTACATTTTACTATTTTCGAGCGCATACTACCGTCTCCTTTATAGCAATCACAGAGCTCGCTAAGGTATCATAATGCAATCACTGATTTCAAATTTCAGACTGTTTTGCTTTACAGCGTCCAATTGATCTTTGGTTTATCTTTTCATCTAACTTATTATGCCAAAGGAATAGCTTAATACTGTATTCGTAAGATATGCTTTTACAATGTTTTCTTAGGTTCGGCGAAGGGTTTATTTTTATTGCCCTTTGCCTGCTAAGATATTTGCTCGGTTCACCGTTTACCATTTTATCTATAATTATGAGCTGTTTAACCCGCTCAGAGTTGTTTGCAAGAACCTAAATGATGTCTATCACTTATTCCCATTATCGGACTCTTTAAAGTCCATTAAAGCAACAGTACTTAATGCGCGCAATTTACCTATGTCGTACTTAAACTAGCTCTTAACCTTAAAATGTCACGATGAGTTGAAAATGAATTCTTGTTAACTGTTATCGGTTGCCAAGCTTATGCATGTTTGCAATGGCTTAGGGGTTCAATCGCAATTTGGTCCTGTACCGGTTGTGGGTGTGGCTCTATGCTAATTGTGTACATGCTTTTTTTCTTTTTTATTTTCTTTTTTTCATTCTTATTTGTTTTATTGCACTTATACTAAGTTTTAATATTAATTAAATCAAAAATTTTTAGTTGAGTTTCTTATATAAGTGGAACAAATAAATAAATGGATCTAATGCCTTGCAGTCTGTAATACAAAATTATTCCTCGTAGAGTTTCTTTTTCTCAGTTTGCAGAGGCAAAGTTTCTATTATGTTGGTAAATTGTTTAAGTTGAAATTGTCTTTTATCCAGCTTTAAGCAATCCGCAAGGTGCATGCAGCTAAATCCACACGAATTGGGTCTATATTCTGTTGATATTATTAACGTTTGGCGTGGATTTATCCTCAGTAAAAACCATAGCGTACTTAAGATGCTGCTTTGGAATATTTATTATTTTATTTATATAACAATTCACATGGTTATAACTTGAAAGCTTATGTGACGTTCGCCAAACTACAATTATTTTCTACTATATTTAAATTCCCCTCCGACACTCTCCTTGCTTTGATTGATATTATATATTTTATTGAGGTCGCAGTATTTTTGGATATTTTGCTACTTTACATATAGTTAAAAAACGCGATAATATCCTATGCATTGTTGGTCTTTCGGTTGCCACGCAATCTTTAGTAAGAGGATGGCAGGAAAGTCAAAGCAGGCATTTGATAATTTTACAGTCTTAGTAGGGATACTCGTCGGCATTTTTATTCAATTACTCAATCATATTATATATG